ACCGGGAACGTAGTCATGCACGACGGATTCCTGCCATCTAGAATGGCGAGTTTGCAATTGATTGGGCGTTAAAAATTTATTATTTGTGCTGTGTTTTGTTGTGTATGAGCACACCGGATTTGGTAGTACACAAAAATTATTAGTAACGTTACACAAATATTTTGTGATATGATACACAAATATAAAAAGAATTTTTCTAATGAAGAGAACATTCTGCTATACGTAAATATGATAAATATGTGCTTTTAGTACTGTATATTTTTTATTAATAAAAAAAAGTTTAATGTTTACTTAATGCATTTAATCGACTAGGGTAGCTGACACGAGTAAAAAAAGTTGCATGCTATTTGCCAAAATTCGTTAAAATATATAAATATCAATAAAACATAAGTTAGATCTCCCTAAGTGTATATGCTTATAAAACCTCTTTAAATGCATAGTTCCTAGGGATGGCTCGGTCCGGTCCGGTCCGTCCCAGTCCCTAATAAGACCGGTCCATTAATGTGTTTCAGTCCAGTCTCGGTCCCTAATTAAATAAACCTCTAACCATTTCATAGGCTAACGGAGAGTGTCAAATCGTATGACGTCGTCAATTGAAAATAAGCGGTCATGTAACATATTTTTTTAATAATTTTAATTAAATATTTTAGCTATTCATTAAGACTGGTCCGGATTAGTTTCAAGACTGAGACTGGATGACCGTAAGAATGGTTAAAACATCGGTCCTTGCTCAGTCTTTTCAGGACTGATTCATCCTACATTTTCATAACAATATCCAAGCCGTATATTCAATTAACATTACCCATATCTGCTGATTTTTGATAATAAATGAATGCCTTATGTTTATCCTTTTTAACTCCAATCCCATAACAATATCCAATATCAAAGGTTCTACCAGCGGCGCCCATCTCTGCAGATTTTTGATAATAAATTAATGCCTTATGTTCATCCTTTTCAACTCCAATTCCATTATATCCAACATTACGTGTTCCCATAGCATGACCCATCTCTGCAGATTTTTGATGATAAATGAATGCCTTATGTTCATCCTTTTCAACACCAATTCCAAATTTATAACAATATCCAACTTCATTTGTTCCAGTTGCATGCTCCATCTCTGCATATTTTTGATAATAAATAAATGCCTTATGTTCATCCTTTTTAACTCCAATTCCATTCTCATAACAGTATCCAACATTACGTGGGGGTGTCAGTAGAAACCAGGCAAATTGTTTTTAGTAAGTTTTTTTAAAACTTTAAATTAAAATGTCTCAACAACTATTAAACCAAACTTAATAAATTTTTTTTATTTTAATTCTATAACTAAATAGCATTAAAATAAAAAATTTTTATCAAGTTAAGTTTAATAGTTGAGATATTTTAACTTAAAGTCTAAAAAAAATTTACTTAGAAACTATTTGCCTGGTTTCTACTGACACACCCACGTGTTCCCATAGCATGACCCATCTCTGCAGATTTTTGATACTAAATGAATGCCTTATGTTCATCCTTTTCAACTCCAATTCCAATATCCAATATCAAAGGTTCCATCAGCGGCGCCCATCTCTGCAGATTTTTAATAATAAATGAATGCCTTATGTTTATCCTTTTCAATTCCAATTCCATTTACATAACACTATCCAGCATTAAATGTTCATCTAGTGTGTCCTATCTCTGCAGATTTTTGTTAATAAATGAACGCTTTATGTTCATCCTTTCCAACTCCAATTCCGTCGTGATAACTATACAAAAGTTACTGAACCTAAAAATATTATCAATACCTCACCAAAAATGTAATTATTGCGAAGAAGACCGTTGATTTAGTTGACAAATTAAAAGGTCATTTATTAAAATGTAAGAAACTTACAAATATAGTTGTTAGACGAAACTGTAAAGAGTGACAAAACTAATAAAAGACGAATATACAAATAAATGTTGTTGAAAATCATTGAAGATTATGTGTGTAAAAAAATAATCAAAAATAGAAATTTATAAAAATTATAAAAAATTTATTACATAATTGGCGCATGAATTGAGTATTCTTTCTTATATTATATTATACATATCAGTTCTAACGAAAAATCGCTTGCTGCTTACTGTGTGTCTTACAAATTTATTTTGTGCTAGTAGGTTTTAACTCATTATTTGTGTTATTCCATGAGCACTATGGCTTTTTGACAAGGCTATTTATAACAACCCTAGCATTGTCCAGAAAAAATAATTTTTATGGTTTTTTTATATATATATTTTTTTTTGAGGGTGCACTAGGATTTCGTCTTTTTGAGTGTAAGGTTTCGTAATTCTAAGTTCAAGGTTTCGTCATTTTAAATTTAAGGTTTCTTCTTTCATCAGAAGAATTTGGTGTTTCGACCTTCGTCAGAGATTTCGTCTATCAACTATACTTACAGGAAATATATAAAATTTAATAAATGCTTAAAAATCAGGATTCTGGTTCTTCAAATAATTAATTCACAAAACTTATTCAATGAAATGAGGTTTACATAATGGTAATATTGTAAACAGTGGACTTTCAATGATTTCTACAATTAAAAGAAAAAAAAACTCATTGATTTTGGTCAGGTGGGTGTCGAGATTTCTTGTTTGATTAATAAAGTGGGAAGAATAGTAGAAAAGGTGTAGGAATTACTGGAAAAAGTAGACGAAGGATAAAGTGTAGAATCATAGGTTAGAAGAATAATATATATAATCCGATAAAATATAATGATTATACTTTCCTTAATGCCAACTATCATTAAACCGAATCCTTTAATTAAACGTTCATCCCGCAATACAGATAACTTATGCAGTTCCCACAAGCAAAACCGCGCATGCTCATTTATTGTTCTCTCAATTCTGGGCACTACAACGGACGGACAAACTCAGAAACGTATGTAGTAGGTTTTGGATATGAACAATCAAAAAGCATTAAAGCGCACAAAGCCATGATCTATTTTAAACACATGGAATCTGCAAAAACAATTACGATATTCTCGATAACACACGTTTAGATCATACAAATAAACTGAATCTGAATTAGAAAATACTTTGATAAAAATAATGATATTTATATAATTTTTTATAAATCATTCACAATGATGAAACAACTTTTTTTTTATAAATTAGGTTAGACAATATGTTTATATAACAAAAAAAGTAAAGTTTTTATATAGAAAATAAAAATACTGATACAGTAACTTAGTAAAAAATTATAAAGAATTTTTTATTAGGAAGGATTTAATTTATTCAAAAAAATAAGTATATTTAATTACAATTAGGCCATATAAAATTTATGAATTGGTTTTCATAACCCGGCCGGGTCATAAAAACCAAAGTGTAAAATTTAAAATTTTATTTGTTAATTCGTGATCCGCCTAAGAACCAGTGACACACCATAGTAAACAGTGGAGATATGTTTACTATATATTTTTTATTGCCTTTGGAATCTGGAGCTTTCCAAAGAAAAACTTTTTTCTTTACTAAACAAACCTCTTTCAGCTTCTCAGTAAAGTTGTAGAGGAGTGTCGTGCGAGCAGAATGGCGGTTAAAATGTTAAAACGGCCCAGTGCATCGTGAGATATGAGCATTTTAGTCTTCGCGACTATATGTTTTCTTTTATATAAAGAAGAAAACATATAGTCGCGAAGACTAAAATGCCAGGAGTACCGTTTATTACGTAATTATTTATGGGGGAGGGGAGATTCAGCAATTTATCAGACCAATATATTGAATATAAACGTTATAAATGTTATAATTGGCAGCTGATTTATCGCCTAAGAAGGGAGTTTGGGCTCAATTAAAAAGAAACTACGTAATAAACAGCACACCCCTAATATCTGATATGTACGTAATCGTATGTACTGCGGACAATTCCCTAAAAATATTGAACTAAACGAAATAATATACCGATACGAATTTTGCATATCGATATAGGAAAATTGGAACGATGATCATTGCCATCAAACTTGAATAACTGCGCTGGGTACATTTGATTGATTATTACGATCCTGTTCCACTCACCTAAATAATTCACATTCGCTGAAACGAGTGAATTCAATTCCAATGAAAAAAATTGTAACATTAAATACCAAACTTATATGTTTATAAATAAAAAGAGGAAATAAATTCAAGTTTTAAATAAAATTTAAAATTTACTAATTTAGTAAAAGTGACAGTGCAGATCACGATCTTTAATATTGGTTCAAGTTAAAAGCTTTGCACAGATTTTGTCATTTCAAAAAAAAAAAAAACAAAAATTAATTGCAGTCTATATTCAGATGAGTGGATGTATTTTATGTGGTTAATATTGTACGAAAACTTTATTTCAATATTAAACCATTCACAGCATTAATCAAATGTGTCAATCAAATGTACATATGTAAAATTTCAATGTTTAGTATTTATGCATAAGTTCAGATGAGCTACAATCATATTTTTATTAATCGTAAATTTTATATCAACAACCAATTGAAAACCGACTTATGTCATTTTTTAAATTGAAAAATGCGATGCACCAATTAATAATTAACACGAATTGAGAAATGACGTATATAATATAAATATTTACGTTATCGTACTGCACTTATCAAATTTATTTTATATCGACTCAATCTCAATCTAAATATGAATTGCTACGTCAGTAATTAAGTACTGTAGGTTCTTCGTTGTCTGATGCGACATGTGTGACAGCAAGGGGCAATTTGTTATTATAAAGTGAAACTTTTGCTCAGTATAATGAAATTTAAATGCCACAAATAATGGAAATGCTTAGTGATGATCGTTAAAGATTTCCTTTTTTGATTTTGGTATCTAACTTAATTCTACCATAATCAAATGACATACCAGATGCGTAAAGAAAGAATTACTATACACAATTATATACGTAACTCTGATCTGTAATTCGGAATTATCATTCCGATTTATTTTATTAAAAATTCTATAAAGGCGCTGCAGGTCTTACCATCCTTTTTGGCTGAAAGAATTTATTAACCGATAATAAAAATATGTCCACGAGCTCCGAAGAAGTTACTAAAGATGTTGCAAAGGATACTCTAAAATTAGATGACGAGTATATCAAGGATTCAGTCTCTGAGATGTCGGGAGAAAATAAAGATGACCCAACAACTGAAAATAAAAAAAGTACTAAAGATGATAACATTAAATCGAAAATTCAAACATCTGTTCTAAATCCTGCAGCTCCTATAATTTTACCACCTAAAAGTAATCGCTCTTTTATTCCATCTGTGCCTATGATGCTTCCTACTATGCCTATAGGATATCAAGTTGCACGACCAGTATTACCTTTAGCCCCTTTAGCCCCTTTAGCCAAAGGAAGTGAACCTTTTACGACTGAAGAAATCGGTGATTCAATTTATGTGAAGATAATCGATAAAAACTTGTTAGCTCCCTTACAAAGCTTTGTGAGGTCTGAAGATTTGTATTCTGTAAATCCAAAGGTAATAAAGAATTTTGTAGTAATGAGTAAATTTACTGTATATTCAATCTTAAATTCTAGAATTTATTTATCGATTTATTTATTCTTTTTTTTTTTCATTCAGATATCTGCACATGAATTATTCATTATCCTTCCGCAATTAAAAAATTGTGTTGGACAAGATTCCCAACAAATGAATAATGAGTTTTTAGATCAAGCGACTGATCCTAATACTTCCTCAGGAAATCAAATTAAACCTCCGTTAAACCAATTAGTCGATTGGTTGGAAAAAGAATTTGATTCGACATTAAAACAAATTGAAAATATGACTGATAAGGTTATTATTACATTTATTTTTTGTGCTTTTAATTTGATACACAATTAAATATCTAATTTATTAATTAACTAATTACGTATTTTCTTAGCATGAAATTTCATATAAAAATTTGTGGTACCTATTTCAAAATGGTATGCATTTAGTATTTATAATATTTATTAATGCTATATTTTATGTTTTAAGTATTTTATTATACTACATTTCCTTTACTATCCAGAGGCTCAAGTTTATGCACGATTACACGGAAAAGTTTGTGGTGCTCGAGTCACAAGATGTGAATATAAATCTTTTGGTGGAACACAATTCTTTATCATTACTGGCGAAATTATTGATTCAAGTATATTAAATTTTTTTTCATTACTGTATGCAACAGGGGAACCGTTGATACGTCACAAAATCGTTACACAATTGATGAAAATTTTTTTTATATTTTTTACAATACTTTTTTAGAAGGCTCGCTTGACTTATCTTTTCTATGAATATTGAAAATTGTTAAACAAACATGAAGCTCTCACTTTGCTTTACAACATATTTTTTGAATCCCTTTGAATCCCATGGTTTCATCTTTTTGTAAATTTCGCAATTTGATTGGTTGACTAATCCTGTAGTGATATTTTGACTGGTCGATACAATGAGTGATCTGTGTAACGGAGAATGAAAATCATATCCATATTTGGACGGTTTCTCCTGTTACTGTATGCTAATGATTATATAATATATCTATATACTTATATAACTTATACACACTTTTGTTTTTTAGATGGTCATGACTTTGTGAATAGTGTTAAGACTTGGTATATTGATCATTTTGTTGGTGTATTAAATATTGACAAACTTCCAGTAGTTCCTTTACAAAAAGAATGTGCAATTCGTGATGAATTAGTAAAACGTGGTAAAAAATTTGAAATGCTTGCTACTGGTTCTCATTATTTACGATATTCTGGAAAATTTTTTCGTCAATCTTGGTTTGGCCCTACTTATTATAAAGGTGATGGACGTATGATGATTGATGCTTCAACCTTTGGTTTAATTAATCCAAATTATGATATGGGTTTAGCAAATTATAATCCTGCAAATTATAATTATAATTATAATTTACCCAAGCAATCTAATAAGGGTGAAGATTCTTCTAAAAGAAAAATTAAAGAGGAAGAGCTTTATATGTGCTCTCCTACATTCTTTGGTTTCAGCTTTATTGCTAAAAAATGGGGTCAATTTTATGTTGATCAAGTGGATGGTAAGTTTCTTTAAACTTACATATACTTATATACTTGAAAGTATCATTGCTAACCAAACAAAAACATCTTTTTTAAAGAAATTAAATTTGACGATGATGCGTTTAATAATTTAATAATGGATACTGATAGAAAAGACATTATTATGAGTTTGGTAAAATCTGAACTTTCTGGAGGATTAGATTTGATTAGTGGTAAAGGTGGTGGCTGCATTTTCTTATTGCACGGGCCTCCTGGAGGTATACTTTATTTTTTTACTGCTAAAAATTTTTTATATGATTACTCAAACTTATTCTACTATTAAAAGTTTAATTTAATGAATTAATTAATAATTTAGTCGGTAAAACATTAACTGCCGAAGCTATCTCTGAATATTTACATCGTCCTTTATATGCTGTCAGCGTTGGTGAATTAGGTGTAACACCTAAAGAATTAGAAGATAAATTAAGTGAAATTCTTGAAGTTGCAAGCGTTTGGAATGCTGTCATTCTCATTGACGAAGGTTTGTATTGTGTTACTCTTTTTGTCACTTTTGTTAGTATTAATAATGTAAATTTGAATATAATTTATTTATAGTTGATATTTTCTTGGAACAAAGAAGTAAAAGCGATGTAAACCGTAATGCTTTGGTTGGAATATTCCTAAGATTATTAGAATATCACCAAGGAATCCTCTTCCTTACAACCAATCGTGGTATGTATGATCATTATTATTATTATTATTATTATTTTGTCTAATGGTAAAAGCTCCAAATCTCACAGTAATTTTATCCGATCTATATAGTTGAAAGTTTCGATAAGGCTTTTTATTCCGTGAGTTGCCATTCGTTTTGTGCAATTTAATTAGACTATCTCAATTTTTATATACAGTATTAATGCAAAATTTCTATACAGAGGATTAGTATTATATTAAAATATGACGACCTTGACGAATTAGCACGTGCTCAAGTTTGGCGTACTTTCTTGGATCGTGCTGATGGTAAAGATAAAAGTCAAGTTGACATTGATAAATTAAAACAGCGACAAATAAATGGTAGAGAAATCAAAACTGCTGTCAGAATGGCAAAGGTACCTATCGTAATTGCATTATCGATATCCTAGCATTTGCAAAAATTTGCCGAATAATACTTTATATCATTGCGAGAAAGATAATTACCTATTTAATTAAATCATGATTAAATGTTCTGTCCTTTTAATTAGTTGTTATCTAGGGTGTTACCTTTTTAATGCTTAATATGGTATTAAAAACGCGTCATCCGGCAATTTTATGCCATAGCTAGGATGTTTGATATTTTGTTCTTATATATATATTTAGCCGACATTTATGAATAGCACCAACAAATATTTCTTTCTAGGCTCTTGCTACTAAATCAGATCTTGAAGCTGTTATCACTACATCACATTTAGAAAAAATCTTGGATATTTCCGTTAGGAATCTTTGAATGCACTGATAAAGATTTTAGTGTATGAGCAGTTAAGAATTATTAAATTGATCATTTATTGTATTGGAAAATGTAAAATTCAAAATGTTTGTTGAAATGAATGTTCTCTAACAAATATAAAACTTCCTACATAAACTAGTATTTAGATATTATGAGTTTTGATATAAATCAACATATCTAGGTTAAATTATCATTTTAAATAGCAATTATTACATATTCGTTTTCAAAATGTCTGTTATATCATATATGAGTGATAAATATTTTTAGAAAGCAAAATTGTTCAACATGTCGGAAATTTTAAAATAATATTTTTCACAAAATTTTTCAACAATTTTCTCAGAGAACAATATTTTGCTGTACTTAAATTCATTGAAATAGAATATGAAACTTTACTCAATCTTAATAGATACGATTTCATATCAGATATATTCAGACAAATTTTGTTATTATAAATTAGTTTAGGATTATTTTTCATAACGACCCGTTTTTAAATAATATCATTAATTATTAAGTATTGAGAAATTTACATCTTACATTTAATTTAAAATAGCCAACTTTGGTTACTAGGTGGTAAAAAAGTATAACGATAAAACTTTCTGTTTGCACATTCACGCGTATGTTTAACTTTTATCTTAAACCGCCAGCGGCCATATTTGGACGTTAAAATGATTTTTGTCAATTTTTGTGTAATTGCTCCCAGATTGTATTAAGACACACCCTATTTTCTAAGTAAAAACAAAAGCGCACTACATGTGTGTTTCTAAGGCCTTATAATTTTTTATGTCGATCAACCAATTAAAGCCATAAAAAATAAGAAGAATGACAGCCATAACCTGCCTTGTGGCATTAATAAAAAATGTTGAAAAGGTAAATTTGCATATGGGACCCCACAGCAAAAGGGGCAGTGGGCAAAAAAAATTTGTTTTTATTTTAATTGATTTCTTGAACAATTAAATTTAATAGGAATATAATTTTTATAAAATTACAAAATCAAAATTTTTGTCCCATTGCCTCTTTTTGCTATGGGGGTCCCCATATATTACCTGTTCTATCCCTAATCTCAAGCCGACCTTTATATTAATCTTGCTTGAAGGGCTTCAGATAAGGCGTGTGTATGAATTTAGCATTTTTCTTATGAAAGTTCATATTTTGTGCATAAAACAAAATCAAGTCTCTAAATTTAGAATTGTCAAATTGAATCAAACACTTAAATCTTTTGATGTACCTAAATTTCTTTTCAAATTTACATAGATATCTTATCTTTAATTGTTAGATAATTTGTAACAAAGGAGGGTGGCAACTTAGTGTAGTGGTGAAGTTGCCACTCCAAGATAGCTTGTAACCAAGGTATAGAGTTCAAATCCCACTAGTAACAATTTGGACGAAATTGCTTGTGTTTATGATAATGGATCTTCATTAATAAATTGTATTTTATCACTTGTAACTTCGGTTATACCAGTGCTACTGGTGCACTGGAAGCATCTGTGTAGCATGTTTATTGTATAAAGAAATGTAAACTAGTATAGTCAGTGCAAACCTACAATAAGATTTCTAGAATTATATAAAACTAATAGAAAGAACTTGAAGATTCAAAACTGGCAAAGACTTGAGTAAGAAGTAGTGAGGACATGATGGTATTACAGAACAGAATTGGACTAAACTGATGGGAAATCAAACAATAAAAAATCATCGAGGTGGGATTTTTTAACCTGGTTGTCAGAGTTATATTAGAGGAAAAGAACATATGCTCTAGAAGTGTATACCAAGAAAAGAAAAACTGTGATATCTAAAGCCTGAACAGACCAACCCTACTGGGCCAACTAAATTGGTAAATTGATGAAGAGAAAGTAAAATAGATACTAAATCTGTATAATATCAAAACTTACTAGAAGTTTAATTAAAAAGGTTATTATTTGAAATATAAATTATATTATAGCAGTGTTACAAAAGATAGTTTGAAATACAAACATGATAGTGATACTAATTAGAAAAAAGTTACTAAACATGTAAGTAAAAAAAATATGTAAAACATAAACTAATTTATTAAATTTATCTTGTAAATAGACTAGTTTGATCTAAAAAAGTTAGTAAGTTCTAAGATAAAGTATTAAATTATAGTAATACAAAATATATCTGAGTCTACTAAGTTGTATCAAATTTATCTTGTAAATAGACTAGTTTGATCTAAAAGAGTTAGTAAGTTCTAATATAAAGTATTAAATTATAATAATACAAATTATATCTGAGTCTACTAAGTTGTATCTAAATTAAGTTAATAGTAGAAGGCTTAATAGATAATTCTATATTTAGATTGCAGATACAGGCATCTAGTGTAGAACTTTAAATAAAATTGCTTAGATAACTTAATAAAATATTTTAGATCAAAGAGATTATTTTAATACAAAAAAATAAAAAAATAAAATAAACCAAACCAAAAAAAATATACAAAAACTTAAAAAATAAACCAAATAAAAACAAAATAACAAAAAAAAAATAATCAAAAATAAAAGCAAAAAATATATAAAACAATATATATATATAATAAAAAATATAAAACAATATATATGGTCTGGTGCTAAAAGGTTTGTACCTTATAAAAATTTTAATTAAAAAAAATCGTACATATAAACTTTTTTTTTTTTAAGCAAAAATATTTATTAGGTTATCGGATTTATAAATTTTTTTACAATTCTTCATCAATATCAAAATCGTCATCATCACCCATTTCCTCATCCAACAAAACTACATTATTATCTGATTCCATATACTATTGTACTCTTGCAAGCGCCCTTTTCCAAAACCCAACTACTACTTTCAGATTTATTTTTTCTTTGAAAGCTTGCAAAAGCTTATTTCTCAGGTCTAAAAGATTCGAATGTGGGCCTGATCTTGCTATTTCATTTTTTACGACCGCCCAGATACCTTCAATCGGTTGGAGCTCACAGTGGTAGAGTGGGGTGAAACTAACCTGATGGCCATATTGTTTGGCTATTTCAATACAAGCAAATAGAACTTTTTCTTTGTTCTGTTGAACAAGTTCTAAAAGTTTAGCCCGACGTAAATGATTAGGAAAAGAAATTTGGTGAGTATTTAACCATTCAATTATTTCATTTTTTTTTGTGCTTGAAATTGGAATTTTTTCAATTCGTTGTTTATGGTAACATGCACCATCCATGTGAATAATTGATGCGCCATATTTTTTACTTATTGTCTCACAAAGTGTTGCAAAAAGATCTTCAAACACATCAGCATTAAAGTTTTCATGGTAGTCTACTTGATTAGGAACGATACCAGAATTTTTGACAATATCTGGAACATCATTCCATGCTTCAGCATCATTCCTTCTTCATCCTCGAGTTCCAGGTGGTTTAGCCGCTGGATCCCAAACATAAACCGAATTTGGAACAAGTTCACCATGTATCTTATTAGTAC